AGATATTGATTTGATTGTTAAAAATTGGAATGGAATATAGCCATAAACATCTCCAAATACTTCTGATAAAATTAAATTCCTACAATACTATACTACAGCTACGAGTATGCGTCAATTTAATTGCTTGCTTTAACTGCCCAACCAGGTTAAAAAGAACTATTTAAACTATAATTCTTTAGATAAGTATCTAGATTAATCATTAAAAATTATTTTCAACATCTTTAGAGATCCGATTTGTTTAATTCTCTTCTGCGGTGCTTTTTTTTTTGTTTTTCATTTAAAAAAGTTTATTTCATTTAAAAGCACAATCCGCTTAAAACAGATATTTACATAGCACTTAATGCAATATGTAATTAAATAAAAAATATTTTAATAAATGCGTAAATATTGATGGATTAAAGGATTACTTATTTAAAAATTAATACAAAATTGCGTGTAAAATTGTTGTAAAAATATACAATAAATTTTAAGTTGCAAACATAACAAAAACAGATTCATTAAAAAATGAAAGAAGATACTTTAACGATGCTTTGCAAAAAAAGTTGATATGTAAACAGAATTTTTTTCTGCCTTGGTGGCTGTATGGACTATGAAAGCAATGTCGCACGGACTTCGCCAAACCTCACCGATTCATTGCATTTAATTTGTATTAATCGATTCATCATATTCATGAAAAAACTCGTAGTGCATGGAGCTTACGTTATATGTATATTGAAATGTAGTCGCACATATTTCTGCGATGCAGATTGCTGCAGTTATCTGAAAAGGGTGAGGTGCTCCAAAATTATCGCTCAATAACCGAAAACATTGGCGCTCGAGCCAAATCCTACAAAAAATGTGGCAAAAATTTGTAACAAAAATACGAAAAATCTGAAAATGATTGCTGTGCCTCGAGTGGGTGTGTACATATATATTGGTTACAGACGCAGAGCCCATTACATGGCATACGGCAGGTGGATATTGTGCACTGGTAATTTTGTTTGGAGCACTTAATATTCTCCGTCTTCATAAATAGGCGCATACAAGTGAGTATGTTTGTGCACTGTGGTTTGTAATTTTTTATCGATGGCAATTGTCGATACCATAGACGAATATGCCAGAGAAAATAACATTCAATTGCACTTTGGCTCTATCAAAATTATTATGAACGTCTATGCAAACCTCAGAGGCAATTGGACGGTAGCGAATTGATTACTTATTTTTTATCTTTCTCAATTTTTTGGTGTATTTTGTAAATTTTTTTTACATTGTACTGATTATGTGGTCAACAATTTAAAATTGGTAATAACAGCTTTAATTTGACATTTTCTTGAAATTTAATTTTACCTTAAACTCACGTAATGCAATACTTGTTATAATCAAAAGAATTTATGAATTTGTATTCTTAAGTAACTAAACTATATTATTGGTATTGGTAAAGCGTTTAAAATAATTATGTGCAGCTATTTAATTCCTTTTCTCATCGTTTATTGTGCGTTTTTAATTTCAGTAATTTCCTTTTATGGACACTCTTCAATATAAGTTAAAGCTTCAACTTAAAAAATTCTATTGAAAATAGCAATAATTACGCATTCCGTCACAGCAGTCGATACTCTCGCGAATGCACTAAGATCAGCACCAACTAACTAAGCCACAAACTAATCTTCTTAGTAAGACAAGTAATTTTATATAACAAAACTCCCCCAAGTAATAGTGCCTCCTTATTATAAGTGTACTTGCTCGAATGAAGCACGTTCTATATTCGATACTTAATAGTTCTACACAACATATTATCTTGATCCAAATCCATAACCACATTCGCTCTACTCATTACCCATTACCCATTACCCATTGCCCACTGCTAACCATGCGGCAACGAATGCTTCTCCTTGCACATCAACATGGCCTTTGTATTCCCATTCGCTGTGGGCTATAATTGTTGCTTTCGCTGCAATTCGGTGACTTCCATTCTACCAAAGTCATTGTAATTTTCTTAAAGCAATTGATCCTTGGCTGGTGATTTTGCTGTCATGGCATGGCATGTCGCATGTCGCACTGCATCACACAATCATAGTGTATAGCAAAAATCGTGTATTGACCGCCCCTTTCGATCCAACGATATCAGATTAAATATTTTTTCATTTTCGCATTTTATTTCTTTAAACTAATCTTTTTTGGATTTTTTATTATAGTTTTTTTTTTTTTATTATAGTTTGCCTTTTTTTGTGTTGCAACATTATTGATTGCAGAAATGATGTTGACCGCTAACAGAAAATTATATTTGGGCCTGTGGTTGCCAATGTTAAGGACGTACAGAAAAGACAAAGGCGAAACAATGACGATAATAACGATGATCAGTAGACGATGATGGTGACGTGCACCATAAGCATTTATTAAGCCCAATTTCAAACGGTTGTTACCTTGAAGCTGGTGGTATATTGTATGCACTGTACGGGTCTCTATATGAGAAAATAGTTGTTTGCAAGAATAAATAATATATTATCGTTTTATAATACATAAAAGAAATGTGTAAGCGGAATTCCTTAGTCCCCCGGACTAAGGATTAGCGCAATCCTTTCATTTATAGATTACAAGTGAGTTGAAATTATTTTAACTGCTGCAGGTAATGACAAAAGCGGAACATATGTCCATCAAATATACATGCATCTAATGCGGATTAGGAATGCATGTATATTCCTACCTGATAATTTATAATATCCGAAATTATTTCTATTTAAAAATAATTTCAAGTTTAGGTCAGAACAGCAAAAAACATTCGTAATACAATTCACTAAAAAATAAATATTTATTATGTATGAAAAATTGAGTAACTTTCTTGTTTTAACTAAAATAAGTTTTTATTACAAAAATTAATTTTTTTCGAAACATATATTGAATTCGAAGCACATATTTAAATATTATTAAAATAAATATTAAATTAAATAAATATATGTTGTTGTTTAAGACAAAACATTTAAACTCAGTTGTATTCTTTTAGTTTACTGATTTTGTGTATTTCTTTATTCAAATTCATAATTTTGTTTAACTTTTTGAACGAACCTAATAAGATACAATAATACAGAACCTTGCAGATTTCATTGCATTCAACACTCCATACACACACATTTACTCCGTAATTAGATTGGAAAATAATCTTTTGTCCAGATGCAATGAAACTATGAAATCCTCATAAATGGAACTTTTATAAAATTTTAATGACTAATATTGAATAAGTCTAGATTGGCTTAGAAATAGTCTTACAGATAAACAACATTATTTCGATACTCAATTATGAATTTTAAAACCAGCCAACAAGCTTCTCTACTAAATGGCTTTTTTTCAATTAATTTAATTCTAGATAGTCTAAATCATTTGAATGTATTTGGATTTTGTTGTAGAAGTTTGTAACACTTTTTCTTTATAATACTTAAGTATTTATACTATATTTCCTAATTCTTACATATATAATTTTTTTACGTACTTTATGTATATAGTAAGCTTTCGAGCGAAATGTGATACGAGTATTTCAATTTTTACGAAAGCCTCTAAAATTGACTGTGGAATAGGCACTTGAATTTTTCGCAATATTACAGATATACCCTTTGATCAAAAAAGAACGAGAAGTTTAAAAAACGCAAAATTTTAATTTTTAATAATTTTCCTTATTATCGCCTTCAAAGTACTCTCCTCCTGCGGCAATACATGCATCCCAACGCTTGATCTAATTTTCCATACAAGTTTTATAGGCCGCCGAAGGTATGGCCTTTAGTTCACGCAGCAAATTCTCTTTTATGGCCTCTAGTCTCAAAACGCATTCCTCGCAATGGCGATTTGAGTCGGGGGAAGAGGAAAACCTTGATTTTCGACCGACTTTGGCGTTCTCTTTTCGGTTTCGGCTCACCTTCGAAGCACCATTCGGTCGATTGTTCTTTGGTGGACATGTCAAATTCATAGACCCATGTCTCATCATTAGTTATGATGCTGGTGTTCGATGATTGTGGGGTCACTATCTGCGTTGGAAATCATCTCTTTGGCCACATCACAACGACGCTTTTTTTGAATGAATTTCAGATAAAAATCGCCACACGAAAATTTATCAACTTCCTTTACCGATTTGATAAGCGCGGGAATTCAAAAAAAGAACAAATAAGTTCTTTTTTGATCACAAGGTACACTAGTCTCTTCAACTGCATAATACGAGTAAGACTGCAGTTTTTAAATTAAATTAAAACTAATAAGATACAAATCGGCAGACTAAGTCAACGCACAAACATAAGTCTCATATGAAGAAAATAAAATGAAAAAGCAAATAAATTCACCTGCTTTAACACTTCTATTGACGTTTACTTAGGGGTACCGGTATATGTTTTCCTACAGACCATTACAAATGGCCTCTATCTCGACTTTTTACAGTTAGTTAAAAATAGGTGGAAGTCACTCATAACCAGTATATAAACCATCGTACTCGACTTGCCTTGTATATTAAAAGACCAGATCAATGGAACTCATTAATAGAAGAATTCATACTGCTAGGCTAATTACAGTTTCTTCAGGACACTGATTTCAGGATACCGCGCAGAGAAATTGCACTTCTCATTCAATACTTATTGCAAAATTTGCGGAAACCTTGTCGAAGAGAAGATTAAAACATACTTTCTTAGTAACTGCTAGGAATAGCACGATTAATCACAAGTGATTGTGTCCTAACTGTGTCTAGGAAGAACTATTTGTCTATACGTATATATCTATAGGTACAATTTTTCAAATAAAACCAAAAAATACTTCATTTTTTTTTGTATTTTAAAATTATAGAACTATTTTACATTTTATGTACAATCACAAAACTTTTCAATCTACTGCGCTTACAATATAGTACAATTTAAAGTTTTAGTTTAGTTTTATAATAAATTTTACTTAACTAAATTTAATAAATATTACGAGTATAATTATGTACTTATAAGAGAATTAATTACATTGAAAGTCCTCTTTGCATTATGAATTGTTGATTGTGGTACTGAACCTGTATTGACTGCTGATGGTGGAGGTGATGTTCAGCAGGAATTGGATTTGGAATCGGAATCGGAGGTTGTTGTTGAACCTGAAGTTGATGTTGAGCGACAATTCGGTATTCAGGTGGACATTGCTGTTGAGCTAAGTGTGGGTACTGTGCTGGAAATTGATTTTGAACTGGAAGTTGGTAATTATTCCAGGCTTGTTGATTCTGAACGACAGTCTGTCGAATAAAGTGAACTTCGTCTGGAGTTGGGAAGTATACAGCGTTAGGAGTATAGTGAGGATTAATCGGTATTCCATTGCTCATAATATGATGATAAGGATGCCCGTAACCATTTCCGTAGTGCAAAGTAGCTCGTGATCGCATAGCAGCAGTACGATTCATCGCAGAACTACTATGACGTCGTAAACGGCCTGTGGTTTCTCCAATTGTCAAGTCCTCAGCGGATGAATCTAATGTCCAATAGTGACCGCGTCCTGGATCATCTAATGCACGTGGTATGCGCACAAAGCATTGATTCAAGCTTAAATTGTGACGTATGGAATTTTGCCAAACGTTTCTGTTCTTTTGAAAATAAGGGAAGCTTTTTGCTATCCACTCACATATTCCGCTCAATGTCAAACGTTTCTCGGGGCTGTTGCGTATGGCCAACACGATGAGTGCACTATATGTGTATGTCGGTTTCACATCTGGTGTTGATTTGCCACTAGAGGAGGTGGATTCATCCGATGATACCTCATCTAAAGAACCAGTGTTGGTTTCACTTGTGGGTAACATTTCCATGCAATTATTTTTTTCTTCTTCCAAAGAGGCCTTTTTGTCTGATAATATTGAACGAATTGAAAATTTTGATTGAAACACTGGAGCCATTTTTCAATTTATATTCCAATTACTATATTAAAAATACAAATGAAAATATATGTAGTTGCGCGAATTACGAACTCTTTACTTCTTGCAGACTGAGTTGTAAATGATGAAATTTGAGTCACTATGTCCCCTTCTTATATCTTCGAAAAATTCTACCAGTGCACTGAAGATCGACACATTTACAAATGTTTTCAATCGATAGATTAAGCACGAAAATGCACTGCTAAACGGGAATTAGCAAAATATTTTTGCAATTTTCGCTCAAAAACAATTGGGAAAATAAGAGGATTAGTAAATACTCTTCATATATTAATGCTTCTATATATTACAAGACCAAATACTAGTTAAAACATACGCGCAACTGCATTTAAGCCCACAAGTACATCGTCCCACATACCGCCTTGATGTTCTGCCTACTACACTAAATACGAAAAGGGTTAAGAAAAGGGCAATAAAAGGTCAATAGAATCCTTCCTATTCATTCATTAGCCCAATGATATATACTAAGCATAATCCGTTGTTTTTGACGCTTCGTAGCTGACCTAAGTTTCATATTCTTAAAAATTAGTCTAAATTTACCTGTGATGACGCGCGTTTGTTCAAATTTTCCACATTTTTCTTATATTGTGCGTTAATCCATTTTCTTTAATTTCCTCTTTTGTCTTTTCTGCACTATTCCCCCTGCAGCCACCTTAATTCTGCTATAATATTCCACAATCTCAATAACCTGCAACTCAAAGCGAAAGGGTTAAGAAAGGGAACATTTTAAGGACAGTAGATTAAGTCAATGCCAGGAAAATTTCAAACTAATTTTGAAAAGCTAATACTTTTTTTAATTGTTAGTTTTGTGGTGCAGATTTGCTTCCATAACTACTTATGTTATACTTAAAGGATTTTTCCAAATATTTTAAGGATAAAATGTTCCTAATCTTTTTTTATAAAAACACTCCTTAACATATTTGAGATGAATACTTTAACTTAGCGAGAGATAATCATATTAACCAAGTATCTCATCCCTAATATAATAAAATGGTAGACTGATATTTTAATAATCCGGTTTTTTGTTTTGTAACCAACTTTAAAACAAAGCTAATACATCCATACAAAAGTTTAGATTATTTTCAATTGAATCTGAACAGTATCCTACTAATAATGCAATTTGGGTAAAACATTTCTATTCCAGCTCTACAGTATTTTCTTTAAATAATCATCATCCTTTATATTCATATTGTTATATTAGGGGTCTTCATTCTGTCTTGCAAAGTTATTGCAAGGTGCATGAAATGCAAGAATGCTATACTAATATTGTAAGAGTGCAAGAATACCTCTGTTGCAGAATTGCAACATCGAAATGAAACAGCTGTTTATGCAGCATACCACATCCACGTGAGAAGCAACAGATGTTCCTTTACCACTGCTTTGTTCCTTTTTGTTTAGTTGCAAGCATATATAGTATGCATGGGCTTAGGTAATAGCAAGATTGCAAGCAATTGCAAGTAACTTTTTGTGTATATTCTATTCCAAGTTCTCACAATCTGTGCATTTCGTGCACCTTACAATGAGTTTGCAAGACAAAGTAAATACCTGTATTAATTTGCTAAAATTATTTAGTAAAAATTAAATTTACTTCGAATAAATCCATCAATATTTGCAAATGAAATTTTCGGTTTCACACTATTATTATCATCCTATTTACTATTTTGTCTATGATATAACATTATCAAAAAATTAAAAATTTTAGTCTATATATCAGATTTATAATCCGATAGTTAAAAATTGTCATTATATTTTTAATTCCGTTAAGAATATTTTAAATATTTTTATTAGAATTATTTTTTCAATTTCGATAAAAATTTTATATGTGACAATTCTAATTTACATGTGAATATTGTTGTAATAACATCTACTTTACATAAACATGTCTCAAACGACTCTTCCATTCATAGACTTAAGGCAATCTGTACATTAGTTACTCCACACAGTATTCAAAACGGTCAAATGAATGAGCCGAGATAAATCGAATTCTTGCATGCTCCCTTTTGGCGTTAGTTCATTCCTAGTATTTAGAAAACCGAGTCACTAATACCATATAAAGCTGCTATAAAACGGAATGGCTCCAAAGAGAGGATGTATGCTGTTATTTCTAATATTTTCACGAAACACTAATACAGAAAATTGTGATTCACAAAAGCCATATACTACTATATTTCTATCCAAAAAACCGAATCAACGAAATTTTAAACAACGTCCAACCTATATTGCGGCACAAGATTGGCACTTGTTGTTTTGTGTTTTCCTCCTACTAAAAATATTTGGAATAGTACAATCTCATGAGCAGCCTCCAAATAGGTGCACGTATCGCAGGAATGGGCGACAACGCCAAATCAAAACCAAAAGACGCACGTTGCTTTGTTTTGGTTCGTGAAGCCTCCGGCGTGGAAAAGCTTCTGTCGCTTAACGCTAATAACAGCGTTCATTGTGGTTGTGTCTGCCAAACAAGTTGCAATCTCTGTCTTCAATGACTTCGATGCGAGTTTCCACTCGAAACATTTTGGGTGTGTGCTTGAAATCATTTGGTTGAAGGTGGACTAAATATGAGACCATATGCAACCATTTCCCAACGGCGGCAAATGCTAAAATGCTGCACGTTATAAGCACAACTTATATTTTTATTTAAAGTGAATATGCGGTTTGCTCGATAAGTTTTACATCGTCGTAATTTCTCCAGTAGGCATTTTTAAGAAAATTAGAAAATAAAGGAGTATTGTACTTAATCAAAATTATCAAATCAAAATTGATACTCAATCAAGCCAATAAAAATTGCTTAAAACGTTGCATATATGTAAAAAGTTGAGGATAGTAATAGTTTGTAATTTTGTACTTAACTAATATAACAAGAAACTGAACAATGAAAAGTATCTTAATTTTCATTATTAGAAGAAATTATTAACTCAACGTAATGACAACAAAATGAATTGTAACTCACCCAATGGTGGTATCATTAACACAGACTATTTATTACTTACTTCATCTATCGACTATTAACAGCTGTGTAATACTCCAATCACAATATGTGATTAATTTGGATTCTGAGGCTTTTATTTTTAAGAATTTATGTTATATTTCTCATTATTAATTAAAACAGAATACCAATCTGAAGACTATACGATAATATCAAAAAAATTGTGATACAATAAATAATCAACTTTTCGAGTTTTGTTGTGACCATTATAGTCGAGTTCCTTTTGAACTTGACTATTATCTATGAAATGCATGGTTGTTTTTGTTATGACCAACTAATTAACTATTTACCTTTCAATGCAGAACGGATTCATCCATTTTGAATCCCTTCTGCCGCAGTTTTTTCAAACCATATTTTGCAACACTGTCAATTTACTTATATATGCGCTATGGTTAGAGATATGTTAGGAATAACATAGGCACTGAATTGCCACCAGTTCCAAAATTACAACAGTTCGTATCGTAAGCCTTGACCACACAAAACGAAAACTTGCGACGTTGATGTCGCATATTCCAGCATCCTGCACTAGATATATTGCTTTAATTTCCTATTTAAGGGCTAATTTAAAATTTTAGCATCTATATTCATAAAATTGAAATGCTATCCCTTGATAAGTATATCAATTGACAATGGTTTAACCAAATTTACTAATTTTTCTAGGATATGTTTGCTGTGGACCGAGTAAGGTTCTTAGAGAACGAAAAATTGGTAACGTTACCGGAAATTTGGAACGTTCCAAACTGAAACTATTTTTGTTTACAGGTCGTTTATGTTGTAATTCAAATTTGTCCCCAGAATACTGTATCGGTCTGAATATCATTCATATTATGAATATCTCTAAGTAAAATGGTTCCAAACAGGCTATGAAAATTTTGCTTGATGGTATTTTTTAAGGTTGCCACCATATAACAATTTTTATAGATTCAAATTTTTTCTAACTGCTGCATTTAACGGTACATTATGTGACACATATAAAAAAGCCTGCAAGCATTTAAAATTGTTAAAAATGACATAGGAGTTATACATTCGTGCCAACAACGAAGTCAACATTTAAATAGAATAAATAGAACTCATAGAGTATGTAATATCGTTTAAATAAAATAGACATTGAGTGGATAAGCTAATAACTAACATACGTTATCATAGCACATCCACGACCTGAAAAAAAAATTGTACCATTAGAAGAATGGTTCTTTTTGGTAATTAATATGACGTGTGAGAATAGACGAGATAGAAGAAGATATTATGAAGAAACTAATGAGTTGATTGATAAAAATAAAACTTAATTTTTTTTTGTAATTTAAAATTATGACATAATACTAAACAACCTAAAAATAATGAGAAATTATATTTTTTTTTGACAAAAATAGTAGTCAGCGACTGAGTAACGTGCGTCTTTTGGTTTTGATTTGGCGTTGTCGCCCATTCCTGCGATACGTGCACCTCATGAGATTGTACTATTCCAAATATTTTTAGTAGGAGGAAAACACAAAACAACAAGTGCCAATCTTGTGCCGCAATATAGGTTGGACGTTGTTTAAAATTTCGTTGATTCGGTTTTTTGGATAGAAATATAGTAGTATATGGCTTTTGTGAATCACAATTTTCTGTATCAGTGTTTCGTGAAAATATTAGAAATAACAGCATACATCCTCCCTTTGGAGCCATTCCATTTTATAGCAGCTTTATATGGTATTAGTGACTCGGTTTCCTAAATACTAGGAATGAACAAACGCCAGAAGGGAGCATGCAAAAATTCGATTTATCTCGGCTCATTCATTTGACCGTTTTGAATACTGTGTGCAGTAACTAATGTACAGATTGCCTTAAGCTTATATATGGAAGAGTCGTTTGAGACGCGTTTATGTAAAGTAGATGTTATTACAACAATATTCACATGTATATTAGAATTGTCACATATAAAATTTTTATCGAAATTGAAAAAATAATTCTAATAAAAATATTTAAAATATTCTTAACGGAATTAAAAATATAATGACAATTTTTAACTATCGGATTAAAAATCTGATATTTAGACTAAAATTTTTAATTTTTTGATAATATTATATCATAGACAAAATAGTAAAAAGGATGATAATAATAGTGTGATACCGAAAATTTCATTTGCAAATATTGATGGATTTATTCAAAGTAAATTTAATCTTTACTAAATAATTTTAGCAAATTAATACAGATATTCACTTCGTCTTGCAAACTCATTGCAAAGTGCACGAAATGCACAGATTGTGCGAGCTTGGAATAGAATACACACAAAAAGTTACTTGCAATTGTTTGCAATCTTGCTATTACCTAAGTCCATGCATACTATATATGCTTGCAACTAAACAAAAAGGAACAAAGCAGCGGTTTTGACATCTGTTGCTTCTCACGTGGATGTGGTATGCTGCAAAAACAGCTGTTTCATTTTGATGTTGCACTTCTGCAACAGAGGTATTCTTGCACTCTTACAATATTAGTATAGCATTCTTGCATTTCGTTCACCTTGCAATAACAGAATAAATACCCCTAATATAACAATGTGAATATAAAGGATGATGATTATTTAAAGAAAATACTGTAGAGTTGGAATAGAAATGTTTTGCCCAAATTGCATTATTAGTAGGATACTGTTCAGATTCAATTGAAAATAATCTAAACTTTTGTATGGATGTATTAGCTTTGTTTTAAAGCTGGTTACAAAACAAAAAACCGGATTATTAAAATATCAGTCTACCATTTTATTATATTAGGGATGAGATACTTGGTTAATATGATTATCTCTCGCTAAGTTAAAGTATTCATCTCAAATATGTTAAGGAGTGTTTTTATAAAAAAAGATTAGGAACATTTTATCCTTAAAATATTTGGAAAAATCCTTTAAGTATAACATAAGTAGTTATGGAAGCAAATCTGCACCACAAAACTAACAATTAAAAAAAGTATTAGCTTTTCAAAATTAGTTTGAAATTTTCCTGGCATTGACTTAATCTACTGTCCTTAAAATGTTCACTTTCTTAACCCTTTCGCTTTGAGTTGCAGGTTATTGAGATTGTGGAATATTATAGAAGAATTAAGGTGGCTGCAGGGGGAATAGTGCAGAAAAGACAAAAGAGCAAATTAAAGAAAATGGATTAACGCACAATATAAGAAAAATGTGGAAAATTTGAGCAAACGCGCGTTATCACAGGTAAATTTAGACTAAGTTTTAAGAATATGAAACTTAGGTCAGCTACGAAGCGTCAAAAACAACGGATTATGCTTAGTATATATCATTGGGCTAATGAATGAATAGGAAGGATTCCATTGACCTTTTATTGCCCTTTTCTTAACCCTTTTCGTATTTAGTGTAGTAGGCAGAACATCAAGGCGGTATGTGGGACGATGTACTTGTGGGCTTAAATGCAGTTGCGCGTTTGTTTTAACTAGTATTTGGTCTTGTAATATATAGAAGCATTAATATATGAAGAGTATTTACTAATCCTCTTATTTTCCCAATTGTTTTTGAGCGAAAATTGCAAAAATATTTTGCTAATTCCCGTTTAGCAGTGCATTTTCGTGCTTAATCTATAGATTGAAAACATTTGTAAATGTGTCGATCTTCAGTGCACTAGTAGAATTTTTCGAAGATATAAGAAGGTGACACAGTGACTCAAATTTCATCATTTACAACTCAGTCTGCAAGAAGTAAAGAGTTCGTAATTCGCGCAACTACATATATTTTCATTTGTATTTTTAATATAGTAATTGGAATATAAATTGAAAAATGGCTCCAGTGTTTCAATCAAAATTTTCAATTCGTTCAATATTATCAGACAAAAAGGCCTCTTTGGAAGAAGAAAAAAATAATTGCATGGAAATGTTACCCACGAGTGAAACCCACACTGGTTCTTTAGATGAGGTATCATCGGATGAATCCACCTCCTCTAGTGGCAAATCAACACCAGATGTGAAACCGACATACACATATAGTGCACTCATCGTGTTGGCCATACGCAACAGCCCCGAGAAACGTTTGACATTGAGCGGAATATGTGAGTGGATAGCAAAAAACTTCCCTTATTTTCAAAAGAACAGAAACGTTTGGCAAAATTCCATACGTCACAATTTAAGCTTGAATCAATGCTTTGTGCGCATACCACGTGCATTAGATGATCCAGGACGCGGTCACTATTGGACATTAGATTCATCCGCTGAGGACTTGACAATTGGAGAAACCACAGGCCGTTTACGACGTCATAGTAGTTCTGCGATGAATCGTACTGCTGCTATGCGATCACGAGCTACTTTGCACTACGGAAATGGTTACGGACATCCTTATCATCATATTATGAGCAATGGAATACCGTTTAATCATCACTATACTCCTAACGCTGTATACTTCCCAACTCCAGACGAAGTTCACTTAATTCGACAGACTGTCGTTCAGAATCAACAAGCCTGGAATAATTACCAACTTCCAGTTCAAAATCAATTTCCAGCACAGTACCCACACTTAGCTCAACAGCAATGTCCACCTGAATACCGAATTGTCGCTCAACACCAACTTCAGGTTCAACAACAACCTCCGATTCCGATTCCAAATCCAATTCCTGCTGAACATCACCTCCACCATCAGCAGTCAATACAAGTTCAGTACCACAATCAACAATTCATAATGCAAAGAGGACTTTCAATGTAATTAATTCTCGTATAAGTACATAATTATACTCGTAATATTTATTAAATTTAGTTAAGTAAAATTTATTATAAAGCTAAACTAAAACTTTAAATTGTACTATATTGTAAGCGCAGTAAATTGAAAAGTTTTGTGATTGTACATAAAATGTAAAATAGTTCTCTAATTTTTAAATACAAAAAAGTAATGAAGTATTATTTGGGTTTTTTTTAAAAAATTATTAATTTATTATTTGCATAGGTTGGTTGAGAAATAAATGTAGGCTTTAGAAACAGGATCGTGTTTTACTAAAATAATATGTATAATACAACAGTAATACTCAGTACGATAGTTTCACATGTGTGGTACTGTGACATTTTTTAAAATGGAATTTTTTGCGATAACTAATAAAAGTTATCGTGATTTATATTAATAAAAAATTTATGTGTAAATTTTTAAATCTTATTTTAAATTTTAAATTAAATTAAATATAAAAATTTAATTCCAAAAATTTTCAATTGTGTGTGATTGCACCAGATTGTGTTCTTTATTATGGATGTGATGGTATTGCACTAGAGCAAAGATATTATCATTAAGTTCGGGAACTTCGCACTAGGGCGCCTACGCCGACGTAATGTACGTTATGTACAGATACAGTTATGAATGTCAGTAGATCTAGGTATACTCGTATGTTTATAAAATAATATACCTTTGGTTTAGGGGACAATATTTAATCATTCGAATTGTGGTAAGAACACGAAAAGATTTGAGATGTGCAATGAAGTGAATTGATTTTTAAGAAAACAATAACATCTTTATATATTTTGTCAAATAAAAAATCTGTATTGTAAAGATATTAAACAGGGACGGTATATGCCTATATACAATGGATTGATGTCACAAAATTTGACATAGTCTGTACTAAATAAAAACCGTCGATATTATGGAAATTATATGTGATATCGTATACACATTAAATTACGAAAGGTGTAGAATTTTAGTTCAGTTAAAAACTGTTATGTCCCATCGTTACATATAGAATATAGCTTAACTAACACAAATTGGAAGTACCTTTTTTTTGTTTGAGAACAAATGATATTACAAATTGACAACGCCAATATATATAAAATCAGTCATTTTTACTGAGCGGACGATGTGTTTCTATTCCTGATATGTTCTGTGATATTTAATTTACAGTTTAAAAGAGTATTATATTATTATTGATTTCATCAGTTTTTAACATTTTAGTTGTAATTGCAATTTGTTTCAGCATATTATCCAATCTAATGCCATGCTCTAATCAGTTTGAAATATTACAATAAATAAATATAGTTACAAATAAGAATCATTAACTTTAATAAATTTTTTATAGTACTATAGGAGATAAAGGTCTGTATCCTGTCCAACTTCATTCATTGCTGTTTTTCCTTTTCAATAACATAATACACTGTAACTCCATACTGCAATATAACTCCATAAAGTTTACACGATTAATTAAAAGACTTATTTAATAATAAATAAATGTAAGCCATCAAAGAACAAATTAAATTCATTTAATAATTTTTTTATTTTAGAAATTGAATTTTAAGAAAATGTAACAGCAACCATTACGAAAGAGCAAATTTTGATCCGGAAATTAACAAGTAGCGATCAGTCACCGCCTCACCTGCGCCTTGCTGAGCCGGTTCGCATCATCATTATTGCAGCTGTACCGTAGATTGCACTTCGACAATTATTGCGTTAATGCAGCTACACAAAAATAAAATGTGCTTAAATTATAAGCAAATAAAAATCGTTTCTTGCCCACTGATCCGCGGATCAATTTCAGTTTGCCTTAGAATTGCCAGATCTTACGCGAAATTGCGGTGCTGGAGCGGCACAAATTTCGTGGCCAGGCTTATAATTGGTTCTTCTTACGCTTCTCATTACCGTTTTAAACACACGGCAGCGGCGGTGTGAGCGGTTTTTATTCAAAATTTTGCAATTTTTGTGTTATTAAGCAAGCGCGGCGAAAGCCAGGAGTACGTTTTACTTGTTCTTCGCATTTTGTCAATATCCTTAGAACCGCCGCAGTAGCTTTAAATTAAGCGAGCGATTGTTTCAGGTTAATGCACAATAGTCGCATAACAGTAATTGGAAATGGATTTAATACTGCGTTACAGCATAATCGACCAGTAAGTGACTTAGTAATTGCTTTCCTGAATACGGATTGCCCGTATCCATGGCTTTGTATCTGCTCATTAAATTCGTTTAGTTTAAAGTTTTTTAGAGTCAACGACTCTAATTACGATCGAAAGGTGTGTGTCTGTTACAATTTTTTTCAGACCATGTTTTCATTGAGTGCTTTGAGGTCATTTAAACTTCTTTGTCTTTACTGATACGACTAGGCAACGTTAAAGGATCTTTTTCCAAAATATTCGTACAGCAGTTATAAAAACAAAATAAAATTCTTGCTTTTAACTGAAGAAAACACTTTATTTATTGATTACAAAGTTTGAAGCAATATTTCATATGTCCACTGGTTGTTTTAAATGATCAGTATCCAAGGGTCCAGGTTACTGACCATATAATAATCCATAATTAATTAGTGTAGAATACACTGCTTAAAAGTCATAAACTATTGTACTTCTTATAAGTGAAAGGACTTGAAGAAGTCCATCGTTTTTATTTTTTTTTCTACGAAATTTAGCTAATACGATGCTAAATAAAATTGTAAAGATTATTATATTGAATTCCTTTTCAACTTAGTTAGTATCTATTGTAGTGTGTACATGCTTTGGATACCGCTTCGTTCATGTTATCAAATTTACCTGCTTCCATTACCAGTTTAACTCGTTCATGGTTGCAGTTCTTTGTCATTCCTTTGACAGCTGTTTGAGTTGCATATTTGTATGCTATTTCCATAGGTATTCCATCCGAAATATAGGTACCTTCATAGGCACATTTAGTGAGTTCTTCAATATCTTTTGTGTATAAGTTTGCAGACTTATTTTGCTGCTTTATATTCATAATGTTTGCAGATACTACTTTGACCGATTCTCCTTTTACGGTATTACGTACTCTACATGTAATGGCCGTGGGAGTTGCTTCGTTGGTTAAAAGGTTTT